CTGGGATCAGAGTGTCCCCAGACTACTTTTTTTATTTTTTTTTTCCTTCTTTAAATGCCACTGAGCTTGGGAGTCTCCCGCTGCTCATGTTGCCTCCCTGTTCAACTCGGTTGCTGCATCAGAAAAGAAAAAAACCTTTGATCTTGACATGCCCTTCTTTGTCCCCCTTTACAACTTCTGCAGGAAAAAAACCCCGTGATCAAGTGCATCTATGGTGTTGTCAGTCCCTTCAGGGAAGAATGGATGCTTTTATCAGATGTCTTCCCAAAACCTTTAATGCCCAGCTGAAGTCCAAGTTGAACTGTCAGAGGACAGACCGGAGCACTGACTTTACCACCATCCCCACGCTGCTCTCAGGGTAACCTGCACACATGCTTAAAAGTGCCCTCTCCCAAAGTGGGGTGGATTTAGGCCATTCTTGAACCGAGGGATCAGCGGGGACCTCAGGTAATGACCGTAGATGCCGCAGTCGGTGTCCGGGCAGCAGCTGTGCTCTCCCAGCTCTGCTGTACCCAAATCTATAACAGCTTTGGGGGAAGACAGTCCTTGGCCCAAATTGTTTGACTTACCCTTCACCATCCATGGGTTTCAAGACAGCTCTCCCTTGGATCTTATCTCTCTGGCTGCTTAAATCTGTAGGGTGTATTTTCCTCGTTAGTTGTGAGCACATTTTCACTGGCCAAGTGGATCTCTAGTTTACGTGAATGCAGTTCAAGTCTCGTGTAATCATACTCCTTTCCCAGTTCCCCTCACCAGCTTCAGGAGTTGAATTATTATGTCGCTTAAAAGCCTTGCCTATAACTTAAAATGAGGAGGGACCATATTAGCATCAGATAACTCAGTTTTAATATATAATTTCAAAATACCAAATTGAAAAATGCTGTTATGATTACCTCGCATGGTGCTGTAGGCTCTGGGGACTGTGGAGCATGTCCTCTGTGATCTGCAGCTTGCAAGGAAGAGTTTGGTGGTTCTGCAGGAGCTCCCTGAAAGGCTTTCTGGTGCCTTACCCGACTTTTCACTAGCACAGTGTGAGTGTGGTTTTCGTATCGCCCACTCCTTCAGCGAGAGGGCTGTTACCATTAAACCTCAAGGAGAGCCAGCAGGACTCTTTGCTTCTCTGGGGGAAGCAGGTAGGTTAGCTCTTCAGGGTGCATCGGGTGTGTTAGCTGCAGAAGAAAATGGGGTTTGATACAGTTGGCATCGTTCCAGGACAGTCACTAAATTGGCCTTTTTTTTCAATGAGCTGAAGTCGATAGGCAAAAAAAAAAAGGGAAGCAGAGCTTTCAGAATTGTATTTCCTACATGGTTCTTCATCCATCAGCCATACCAAATGGTACTGTAATTTATGAGAATAGGGCAATACCCTTTTAACATTACATTGATATTTAATATGTGTTCTGTGTGCCACCGGACAGGCCAGAGCACATGCAGAGCTGACCCTGGGGTGTTGGTGTATACTTAGTAAATGTAGCTGACCAAACTTGTATGCCATTTCTTCATATCTTTTCCATGTTAAAAAGAGTGGGAGACAAGTACCACTTCAAAATGCACAAGTATCATCTTTTAAGTGAATTTAATGTAGTACAATCTCATTTGCAATTGCAAATACTAAGGCTGCATTTTTCCCCTTACTCCGAATGCCTGAAAATCTCATTAATGTTAATGTAAGGGGAAGAAGTGCTTAGCCTATTGATGTAGGAATGAAATCAGGAGCAAAGCACAGCTCTACAAAGATTCATCTGCAGATTAGGGTCTGAAGCTACCATTAGATTATCAAATCTGACCTTCTATCTAATGCATGCCATAGAATCTCATCCACTTAATTCTGTATTTATCCCAACAACAGCACCAGAAAAGCAAATACAGTGCATTAACATATTGTAATGTAGCAGTATATTCAGGCATGTCTTATTTTTTTTACTCTAAAACCAGAGGCAAACAGCAGTACTGTGCTATACAATATTGATGAAAATCTGCAGGAGGAGAGATTTCACCATTTTATCTGTCTGCAGAGAGTTTGTACGTCTATTGTTTGCATAGGGTTTTGTTTAGTTCTTTGAAAATTATTCACTGGTAACTCTAACCAGTATAGAGCTGACCATTAGTTCTGTTTGTCTCTGAGGACAGCACAAATTGAAATAGGGATTTTATATTTTTTTTAACAGAAAAAGTAATTTTCTTCAAAAATCTGTGTGGACCTTGACAACTGCGTTCTAGCATTTTGTTTTGGAAACTCTCTGCCAGTCAGTTTTCCTAGGAAACATGAAGTGTATTTCACATCTTGCTTCTCATCTCTTTGACTAGAGCACAAAACTGCCCTTGAAGTGCACCTGGGAGGTTTTCAGGGGGATACCACACACGCACAAAAGACGAGCCAAGCTGTCTAAAGGAGCTGCACTGGGCTATTGCATGTTTTAACCATTAGCCAACATTTTACTGAACAAAGGGGCTAAAGAGGTGAGATGAGGAAAGTATCAAGGAATTCAGAGGAGAAGCCGTGGGTGGCACAGTACAAAATACAGAGGTCCCAGGCTTGGCACATAAATGCTGTCCTGAAGAAAAAAATCCTCCTGCCCAAATTTGAGGTGCACCAGCCCCTTGGTGTTGCTCATCCCACGAGAACATTCCTCTGCAACCCACTGCAGCTCAGAGAGAGGGACAGTCTTTGCTGCCCACGTGTTGCAAAAGCGTTTGCTGCCCCTTGGGGGGGGTGAAACCTGGGCTCTTAGGGCTTGTCTGTAACAATACAATTTCTATTTCCTTTCCGTCTAAAACTCAGAAATCCTACAACCGGCTTGGTCCCATCTTGGCGTTTAGTTTGAGTTTTGCCTCTAAAGTGCATTTGGATCCTGTTCTTTGAGGGCTTTTTTTGATAGGAATCATGGCTAACTACTGGTATTGAAAGCAGAGATTTGACCATGACTGCAGGAACTGGAGGTTCAGTACGAACCCCTAAGCTGCTGCAAAACCACTTGCCAAGGGTGTTATACTGGCAAGGGGGAAGACCCCTATAACCAAAGGCATCCCCATAGCAGATTTATACAGTCTACATTGCTGCAACTGCTTCATTGCAGTGGCCTGTGATTCATGTTAACCTAACTAGAAGGTAGCAGATAAACATTTTGAAAGACTTGGTATACAAGAAAGAATCTCAGACCTCCTTGCCTATGAAATAGGAAGGTCAATACTTGCCTTAATACTTGGCTTTGAGGCTAAACTAATTATTGAGTGTAAGGCTCTTTGAAATCCACAGGTAAGTGGTGTTAAGTAAATGTAAATAACATTACCAAAACCTCCCCCCTGTTGCTTTGATGCAATTTATTCAGAACATGTAAAAAGGCGTTTGTAGCAGTGAGGGTACAGCTGCACAGCAAAACACTGTGCCATGCAGAGACACCTCAGGTGGCTCTGAATAACCAAACACAGGAGCCCTGCGTCGGCACGGTCCTTTGCTTGGGCTAATATTCCCTCTTTTCCGGAGGAGCTCATTACCTCCCTTAGCAGAAGCTCTCGCTGTTTCTGCTGGACACAATCTGGGCAGGAGGAGGCTGGTGGTGAGAGTGTGGCCATGTCTGTGCCACTGCCGTGTGGGTCCCTCCTAAGAGAGATTACAACATCTCCAAAGCATCCAGCAGCAGTATTAGTAGAAAGTTAGGGCACTATTAATAAAATAATAAAGGGCTATAGATGAACGTAGTGCTGTGTGTGTTAGAAGGCCATGCACTCTTTCCTTCTCTGTCAATATGGCTTTAGCAGAGAGGCAAATTTATAGTTAATGTTCTCCCTGCTCCTCAAGAAATCACATCTGAGTGGATGTTCCCCTTGGGGAGTAGCAGTGTTGTGGTTTAAGCCCAGCCAGCAACTGAGCACCACGCAGCTGCTCGCTCACTTCCCCCCACACCCAGTGGGATAAGGGAGAGAACTGGGGGGGAGTGGGGAGTAAAACTTGTGGGTTGAGATGAGAACAATTTAATAGAACAGAAAGGAGGAAACTAATAATGATAATAATAACAATAACAAAATTACAATAATAATAATAAAAGAATTGGAATATACAAAACAAGTGACGCACAATACAATAGCTCACCACTCGCTGACCGATGCCCAGTTAGTTCCTGAGCAGTGATGCCCCCAGGCCAACTGCCCCCAGTTTATATACTGGGCATGATGTCCCATGGTATGGAATACCCCTTTGGCCAGTCTGGGTCAGCTGCCCTGGCTGTGTCCCCTCCCAACTCCTTGTGCCCCTCCAGCCTTCTTGCTGGCTGGGCATGAGAAGCTGAAAACTCCTTGACTTAGTCTAAACACTACTTGGCAACAACTGAAAACATCAGTGTGTTATCAACATTCTTCTGGTAGTGAACCCACAACATAACACTATACCAGCTACTAGAAAGAAAATTAACTCTATCCCAGCCAAAACCAGGACAAACAGGAACCTCCATGGGCTTCATTTCTTCTGCCAAGGTCATAGTGAAGAAACAAGCCACGATTATTAAATTCTCCAGCATAAAAGACATCAGCAACAAGAGCACATACTGTTTTCATTCTGACAAATTTTCCAACTCTGATGTCTTCCTACCCCATCTTAGCAGCAAAAAGGTCAGGCAGGGTCCAGCACTGCTGTAGCCGTGGGGTGGACTGCAGAGTGGAGGGGAGATCTGTTTTCCAGCACTAAGAAAAGCAGTGACCGCATCTCGGGATGAGGGTGCTGCAAATACACTTGCCACCAGGCTGTGTGAGCACTTGTGCTCCTTCAAAGGCTTCAAAGCAAAGCCCTGGACACTCTCTGAACAGCATTTAAGCAGCACGTATCAAGAAGTTTGGAGACAAAAAGAGTGTGTCTTCCAGCATAGGAACAATTTTACTCAGCCACGTAATAATGAACTGTTCTATACAGGCAGTAATTTACTTTTGTATGAATTTCTATAATAAGCAAAAAGGCAGTAAGAGTTTCCCAGCCGCTTGACTTACCGGTGCCTGTGCTTTCTTTGCAGTTGTCCAACACAGCAATTCTTCATCAGATTAGACGAGACCAAGTGACAGACACGTGCCGAGCAAACAGCGTATCTAGCAGGAAGCGCCGTGTGCTGACACCCAATGATCTCAAGCACCTAGTCGTGGATGAAGACCATGAAATGATCTATTGCTATGTTCCCAAAGTGGCCTGCACAAACTGGAAGAGAGTCATGATGGTTTTGACGGGAAGAGGCAAGTACAGCGATCCAATGGAGATACCAGCCAATGAAGCCCATGTGTCTTCGAACCTGAAGACCCTCAACCAGTACAGCATCCCAGAGATCAACCACCGCTTGAAAAACTACATGAAGTTCCTCTTTGTTCGCGAGCCTTTCGAGAGACTGGTGTCAGCCTACAGGAACAAGTTCACCCAGAAGTACAACACTTCCTTCCACAAGCGATATGGCACCAAAATCGTGAGGCGCCAGAGGAAAAACGCAACCCAGGAAGCTCTGCGTAAAGGCGATGACGTGAAATTTGAAGAGTTTGTGGCGTATCTCATTGACCCGCACACCCAAAGAGAAGAGCCCTTCAACGAGCACTGGCAGACTGTGTACTCCCTCTGCCACCCTTGCCACATCCACTACGACCTCATAGGAAAATACGAAACGCTCGAAGAGGATTCGAATTACATTCTCCAGCTGGCGGGAGTAGGCAACTACCTGAAGTTCCCCACCTATGCAAAGTCTACGAGAACTACTGACGAAATGACCACAGAGTTCTTCCAGAACATCAGCTCCGAGCACCAAACGCAGCTGTATGAAGTCTACAAACTTGATTTTTTAATGTTCAATTACTCAGTGCCAAGCTACCTGAAATTGGAATGAGGGATGGGTTGGGGGGAGAGAGGGGAGAGAAAGCCTGTTTTATTTAAGATTTTTATTTGTCATAATAAATATGGAGAATGGGTTATTTTGTAAATTAATATTTTTTTTTGAATGATGCTGCGAGCAGCACAGTCAAAATTATTTAAATCAACTGTAAGAAAGGACAGCTCTCTTTGCAGGGTAACAGGATTGTGACGATCTAGCTGTAGAAATGAATAATACTGCTACACTGTTTTAAAAAAAAGTTAATTGTGTTCTGGTGAATTTCATTGATCTTGCATTGCTCCAATTCTAATTAATGTTATTTATACTTATTTAAAACATGGTCTCTTGGTAGGTGTCACTTCAGCAGCAGAGATAAGGTAACATTTGGACAAAAGGAGTCTGGTTTTGTGCTTTGCTCAGTTGAGCTTGTCTCTGGGTAATAATACTCTTCCATTAGCCATTGATGCAGGTAAATATGGGAACGGTTCTTGACACCACACATTTTGAGAAGAGTGGTGGAAATAATTTCTTCAGAAAGTGATATTGCACTCAAGTGTACTAAAAAAATTAAATCTGTCTTTCTAGCCCTGAAAAGGAAAAGTAAAAGAGATTTTGATAGATTCATGATAGCTAAACTCATGACTGAAAGAAATGTGAATGTATTCCTTGGGAAGAGAAACCATGAACTTTTTATAAGTCTGGACTTAATGAGTTTATCAAGAATATGACCAGTCCCATTGTGTCTTAATTTGAAGCCTGCCAGCCTAATTGAATGCAGATTTGCAGATAGTCCATCAGAAAAAAATCAGCATTTTGAAAGTGACTGTAGAGATTTTTGAATGCCCAAAGCAATTAGCATTGACATAATTCATATCCAGGCTGGGGCTGGGGAGAGCTCTGTCCTCTGCAAGTCTTGCCTCCCTATCTGATCTTAAGATGGACAACTGAAATTGGCTCGAAAGACACCGGTCATGATACATTGCTATAAAGGATGTGGGCATGTCATTTGAAAAGTCAGAAAGTCATCTTCATGTTGATCTCTAAGCATGCAAGGCAATAAAAAAGGTCTCACCCTCCTGCATGCTGGTTTCATGGCTTTTTCCTAGGGGGAAGAGGGAGTCGTCTTTTTCTTTAGTTGATGCCTAAATACCATTGACAAGGATGTTTCCAATTTCCAGTGGGTTAGTATTTCATCTAAGTCAGCTCTAGTGTGAGATCATGACCTCTTTACTTAAGGTGAATGTCTGAGTAGCAGTTGTTTTGTGGATAACACCTTGTTGGGATGGCGGACTGTACCAGGCGTAGCATATCGAGCAATTGTTTTGGGCAAGCAAGTAGTAATCTATTCACGGCAAATAAAGAATGAAAAATGAGATTTCAGTGTGGAACTATTAGCAAGCTAGTGAGCAGAAGTACAGGCTTCTCCAAATGCCTGCTTTAATTTGAGGCAGGCGAGGGGTACGGCCAAGCGGGCGGCCGGCGCCTGCCCGGGGACTGGTCTGTAGTCACCCCAAGCTCTCCCGTCCCAGGGCAGCCAGCCGATGGGCAAAAGGAGGCTTAAATCAAGGCACGGGGGGGAACCCAAAATCTCTTCTAAAGTTGATTGATGGTTAAAATGGGGTTTGAACTTGCCTGCACGTCAATCTTAGAATCAAACCAAACCATTCCAAAACTTAGTGAAGATTCGAATAAACTCAGCTGAAGGCAGAGCTGCTTTTAACAGTATCAGAGCCGGATCTTGAAAATGTCATATTGTACAGTAGCCAGTAATATCCACTGAATTGCATTAGTCTCCAGGACAGATATGTGGTTAAAGGAGAAAAATAGGTTCCATCTTATTTTATAAAAATAAGTCGCCAAATAAATCTCAGTGAAGAACAAATTAACATAACAAACAGCAGCTGAAGTCCTTTCACAATTGGATTTGGTCTTAGCCAGGATTCGGGTCATTATTTTTTTTTATCATACCCTACAAATAAATCTCTCGTCCATTCTGGAACAGCCACAGTTTTCATAACCCAGGCCCTATTTATAACCCGGAGTGCTGACCCAGTGGCTAGCGAAGAGCCGGCTGTCTGCGCCTGACAGCTCTGAATTCCTGAGCGGTTGCTGATTGCTGGCTTGTTTTACTTGAAAGCAGTTTTGTCTCATTTAGAGTACATGGAGCTGTTGCAAGTGCCTATCACAGTGTGCCCTGGCTTTCTTTCGTTTGTAGTTCAATGGTTATATATTTGTTAAAAAAAAAATAAAAATCTGTCTGAGGGTAGATTCCCCCTCTCCCCCCCCAAATATTTCCCGCAAGCTGTTTGTGTGCTTGTTTCATCTTGTATCTGACAGTGTTCATATTTTGGTCCAATTCTCTCTTCAGTTAGCTGTTAATCCTTCCAACAGAATGTGATGTGAATTTTTTCATTTAAGAAAAAAGTTGCTTCAGAAAGTAAATCATTTTCAAAGGGAGTGTGCTTCCCCCCTCCTTTTTGTACTTTTCTCTGTCATCACCATGGTTTTGTCTGTTCTGAAATACTCTCTTTAGTTTCACTGCTTTGGAGACACAAAAACCCTATTTGACAGCTATGATAGAAAAGCTTTAGGTGAAAAACATGTTCAGGAGATCTGAGGGGTGAGCGCTGCTCGAGCCGGGATTTTTAGCAGCAGCTTTGGGTTTGATTACCCAAATTCTGCCTCCCCGCAGAGGGCTGCCCTATGGGCGGATGCTCAGCACTGAGATGGCTTTTATTTGGACTTAAGTGGCTACTTAAAAGTCACTTGCCTTTTAAAAACCTTGATCCCAAACTACTACAAACCGTCCATTTAGTGTGTTATATGCATTTTGGGGTGCTGTGAATGGGCTGTAGGTCTGCGTTTAAAATGAACAGCTGATATGCTGGCTACGATCGTGTCCTGCGTGGTGAGCATGAAGCCCTCGGCAGGTCAGAGCTGGACCACAAATGTTAAGAAATAGCCTTTTTTTTTCAGTCTACTGGGTGTGTTGTTTTGACTGAGCCAAAAACTATCTCTTTCCACTGCACCCACACAGGAGGGTGTTCTGGATTGTTCCTCCTTATCTCAGCGAGCTGGTGGCCACTACCTGCTATGCAGGGGCAGCTGGGGAACCAGGTTGGTTTTACCCCCACCTCTTTACTGGGTTTCCCAGCCGGAGGAGAAGAGGGGCTGGTCTGCTCCCGAGCTCTGCCTCCCTCCCTGGTTCATTTCTGCTGTGGCCACGGCTGGTCCTGGGAGCCAGATGGGCAAATCTGCAGCCCCAGCAAAATGCAAAATACAGATGTGCCCATGGGGCCGCGAGGGCCACCCGGGGAGCTGCCGGTTGAGAAGAATGTGCGTTTAGTTCTGGTCGGGCAGTGGTGAGCGCGGAGAGGACCCAGCGGGGAAGGTCCCGCTCCCCACCTCTGCCCCCAGCCCCCTCAAAAGCCGCTGGGCTCGGGAGCAGTGATCCCCATCTCCGAGCAGCTGGTGCCTCCCTGTCATTTGGCTGGGCCAGCGCTGAGCCCAGCAGCGCCTGCGGCTCCTTACCCACAGCCGGGGGTTCGTTCCCACCCCCCAGATGGCCCCAAGCACCTTTACCTGGTGCCCAGGCTGGATTTGGCCCATCTGAACACGGTGGTGACTCCTGGGCGGTAGGAGGTTCCCCCATACCCTGACTTGGTCCATGCTTCAGCCTCTTCATAAACCATGTCCATTATCACAGAAACGTGCGAGCTGCCTGAACCACGCGCTGTGTAAAACAAGTGAAATAATAAATAATCCACAAGCAGAAGTGCTTTTAGAAGTAAGTTGACCCCAGATGTTTTAGGGTTTCACTGTAGTCTGCTGCACTTTTCAGGTACAAAAAGGGACTGTCCTTACTATTACTCTTGTTACAGAGAGTGTTATTTTCTTACATGCATGCACAATACAATGTGTACGAATAATTTAACATCGATGTGGGGTTGGATTTTTTTTTTTTAACCTATTTGTATGCAGTAGAAGGCTTGTTGTAGAAAAGTATCTCCTCATACCTAAATATACTGTTAATAAAGGAAAAAGCTAAATTATACATTGCCAACACAAGTGTGAACTGCTCATGAATCTTTCCTTAAAAAAGCCATTCAAGCCTGATTATTTTTCTAAGTAACTTCAATTAAATTGAAGAAAGAAAGTTCCTCTCTGTGTGCTTTATTTCTGGCTCGTGCTTTCAGGGTGGGATTTTTGTCTGCATAGCTTTGCTTTCCCAGAAGGCTTATTGTGGCAGGACAAGCAGAAGACTCAAAATTATCTACTGCTGTGCAGGAGGAGAGCTAAAGTCATCTAACACCGTCCCTCTTGCTCCCTTCCTTCTCAAGTTCCCAGCAGCAAGGATGAGGGCTGTCAATTTAAGACCTGTCACGTGCCCAGAAACATCATCCCACCTCAAGCAAGGATGTTTTAGAGTCAGTCAGATGACATAAACTCCAGCTGTCTGATGAGCTTTAGGCCACGTGCTTGCCCACCTTCATGTGAATTCACTAACAATGGCTTTGAGTTAAAATTTCCCGCAGTCCTCAAATCTGTGTGGTCTCATCTGTGGTTTTCACTGAGGCCACGTCTAACCCCAAAGCAGAAACTTCCAGCTGGGCTTTGAAGACAAACTTGGCAGGGAAATCAGCATCATAAATTACACTTAGAAAAAAGCATACATTTAGGCAATAAGTGCTCACCATCGTGACTGTGTTGTTGGAAGGGACCCTGGGGGTCACCTGGGCCACGCCACTGCGGAAGGTCACCACGACCAGGTCAGCCATGGTTTTGACTAACCGAGGCTTCAACGCTTCTGGGGATGGAGGGCGACCCACCCAACAGAGATGGTTTTTTCCTAGTGGGCTCTCTGAGACTCCCAGCCTTTAACTTGTTTCCATCATCTGTCACTGCTGGAATAAGAGTTTGGATTCACTTTGTAAGTCTCCTTCAAGTAGTTGTAGACTGCTACTAGTCTCCTAGTTCGTGACACCATCACCACACTAAATAAGGCCAGATCCCTCAACATCTCCTCGTAGGTGATATCCTTTAGGTCACTGAACATCTTGGTATCCCATCGCTGTAACCTCTCCAGCATCTTCACATCCCTCTTGAACCGGGGAGGGCCCCAAAACTGAATGCCGTATTCTGGGTGCAAACAGATCATTTAATCTGCCGGCCCCACTCCTCAGAAGGCAAACATCATTCACAATGAGAGCAGAGGCAAAGAGAAAATAGGAAATCTGCTGAGTAGGTGTCATAGCACATGGTGGGCTATCTTTAGAGCCCATTCCCACCTTAAACACCCCACCACCCTGCACTCCCTAATTAATAGGCAGAACTGGAGCGTAGCCTCCTGAAATCGCAGCCTGGCTGTGCGGTATTAAGACAACAACCTTCACATTTCAAAACATCGGCGATTTGTTTCCTCTACAATCTCACCCAGAGAGGGAGATAATTAAGAAGATCTCGAGAAGGACTCGGTGTCAGTGAGCGATTAGCACCGTGTTGATCGCTTTGCCTCCCTCGGCACCTTGGCAGGGCATGGATGACATACGCTTCGAAGTGATGCAGTCCTCTTCTGGCAGCACATGGGTCTAAGCAAGCCACTGCACTGCCCT